TTCAGCCATTTTGGAAGCAAAAACCCATTGGTTTTCATGAATCTCTTGGTTTATGCATAAAAATGGGAGCAAAAACCAAAGCCTTGTAATGATAACAGTAGTCGCCATGGATTCAGTAATATGTTGTAGATGAAAGTAGTACTTCTGTTAGAATTTAGGTGTGAATCGAATTCCTTATTGAAGTAAATGAAGAATTCTAATTGAAGTGCACGTAAAAAAGAATTCAGTTTGAAATGCTATTGGAGTCCTATGTCAAGATGAAATTCTATTTTGGATACCTCGTTGAGAGTTGGAGATTGGTATTGGACGCGAAGGAGAGTTCGGGATGAAGAAAATAATTTGGAACGAAAAGAAAAGAAAATAAAAAAATCGGTAAAACGCCAGGCGCCGCAGCATCGTGCCCCTATTTGAGATTTTGCCCTGGCATCACCCGTGTATGTTTAGGGGTTTTTGCGTTAATATCTCCTTTTTTGTTTTGGACTCAATTTTTTGGCATTCTACTTCATCAACAACTCTAATATGAGAGTTTGGATGCTCCCTAGATATTCCCTATAAATATTAGGCTCTTTTATACAATCTTATAGTGTGAGAAAAGTGATTACTAGCTTTTAGGATCTTTGTAATATTTCTCCAACTTCATTATTTGTGGTGCGGTAAAATCTCATAATTTCTCTACCATATTTTCTTATCTTCTTTTATTCTTTTGCTTGCGATCATATACTTCATTATTGTACCATATAACTTCAACACCACAATCTCGTGGTTGATTTTATATCAAGTGGTATCGAGCGATTCATGATCCTTAAATTTTTAATAATTGGAATAAGAGATTTTGGGCATAATTAACACAATAAATGGTATCAGAGTCTAGGATTAGCAGTGCCGAAAGAGCACAGGTTTGATTTGTTCGAGATTTTTTTCATGATGGCTTCCATGAAGAATGACATTCCGCTTTTGGATCGGAGCTCCAATTTTTTTTTTATGGCAAGTTAAGATGCGTGCAATACTTGCACAATAGGATTTGGATGATGTGTTGCTGAGAATTGACAAGATGCCTACAACTTTGACTGCGGAGGAGAAATTAAGAAAGGATACGAAGACAGTTTCTCACATTCATCTTATCTATCGAATAACATTTTTGAGGAAGTTTTGAAGCAGGGTTCAGCTACTGCTTTATGGTTGAAGTTGGAGCAATTGTGCATGACTAAAAGTCTGACAAGCAAGTTGCATCTCATGTAGTATTTATACTCCCATCGAATAGCAGAAAGAGGATCATTGGAAGATCACCTAGCTGTATTTAAGGAGATAATTGTTGATTTGAAAACATTGAAAGTAAAGTATGATGAAGAAGATTTGGCCTTAATCCTATTTAACCTCAAGCAGCATTTATACTCTCGGCGAATGGCAAAATGAGGATCATTGGAAGATCACCTAGCTGTATTTAAAGAGATCGTTGCTGATTTGGAAACTTTGGAAGTAGAGTATGATGAAGAAGATTTGGCCTTAATCCTATTGTGTTCGTTTCCGCTTCCTTTTTTCATTTAGAGACACGATCTTGTATAGTCGTGATACTCTCATCATAGAGAAGGTGTATGATGCTCTATTTTCAAAAGAGAAGATAAATCATCTAGTTTCTGATGCTAGATATGGAGAAGGCCTGGTTTGGTTCTGGAAGGGGCAGATTGAATCTAAGTTCAGTAATCACATTTATAACTTCTGCAAGAAGATGAGGTACATTAAGAAGGATTTCTACAAATTGCAAAATAAAAGGTTGGCTACAAGTCGAAATGGAAAGAAATCAGAGACTTCAGGTAAAGCACATTGTAAGTGAGAGAAATCTCTTGGCTATTTTGACATCGAGTCTAAACCAGAGGAGTACCGGATTCTAGATTCAGCATGTGTATTGTACATGTGTCCTAATAAGGACTTGTTTACTACATATGAATAGATTTTCAAAGTTGTCATGGTTGTGGGAAACAACACACCTTTCAGGTTGTCGTATTGGTACGGTTAGATTGAAGCTATTGGATGTAACAATTAGAACACTTGGTCAGGTTCGACATGTTTCAAATTTGAAGAAGAATCTCATCTCGTTGTCTATTCTTGATTCAAAGGGTTACGACTTTTTTGGTGGAGGTGGAGTTTTGAAACTTTGTAAGGGTACCAAGGTTGTATTGGAGGGATAGAAAAGGTATCAGTTATACATCTTGCAGGATCGTGCAGAATCTAGAAGCGTCAATCAGCATAGGATTAGTACCATGGTGAATATTCAACTTGGTACAATACCTTTAGGTGCTCGTAGGTGGTCGAATTTGAAGAATATAGCTTAGTGGAGTTCAGGAGTATGGATAATGCCACTTTGCCAACTTCACAAGTAGTGTCATTGTATTCAATTGTTAGGGATGGACCTAGTGGAAAAATGTATGTGGATGTTGATTTTGTTGAGCATGCTTTCAGCGTGATAAAAGGTGGACAATCTAGTAATGGACATTCTTTAAAACATTTGGGTTTAATTCTGCTTTTGGGTATGTTATAACCTAGTTTGGTGAATTTTAAAATCATTATAATTTTTTTGGGAATTTGAGGTAATTTTGCAGAGTAGTGCTTGATTCATTGGAAGAGGTGGATTATTTTGTCTTTGGTTGGAGAAATCAGTTTTGGTTATTGTTGAAAAATTAGTTCATTCCTTGCAGACGAATTTTCCTTTCTAGGTGGAGAATATTTTGGAGTTTTGTTTGTTTCAGTGGAATTCATGTCAAGGTGGAGATTGTTAGAATATGGAGTATGACCCGAATTTCTTATTGAAATAACTGATTAAAGTGCACGTAAAAAACAATTCAGTTTGGAATGCTATTGGAGTCCTACGTCAAGTTGAAGTTCTATTTGAAAGTTCATAGGAAGTTGAAAATTGGTATTTGACTTGAAGAAAAGTTCGGGATGAAGAAAACAACTTGAAACCAAAACAAGGAAAAAATTTGCAAGAACACGCGGTGCCGCGGCACCAGGGCCTTTGTTTGAGATTCTGCCCTAGGAGCCAGGGTGCCTGGAGGTGGTGCCACGCTCTACCCATGTCTGTTCTAGGATTTTCATGTCATTCTCTCATTTTTCGTTTTGGACTCGATTTTTGGCATCATACTTCATAGACAACTCTACTATAAGGGTTTGGACGTCGCCTATATGTCCCTATAAATATTATGCTTTTTTATACAATTTTATAGTGTGAGACAAGTGATTATTAGCCTTTAAAATCATTATAATATTTCTCGTGGTGCATAAAATCTCCTAATTAGTATGTCATATTTTCTTGTCTTTTTTATTATTTTGCTTGCGATCATATACTTCATTATTGTACCATATAATTTCAACACGTCAATTCGGTGGTTGGTTTCATATCAAGTTGTATCAAACGATACGTGATCCTTGAATTTCCAACAAATGGTATCACAGATTATGAATATAATTAACACAACAACTTCCATATTTATAGTCTCGAATTGTTTTTTCACCATCTTGATGTAACTCTGGAACTAAGGTTAATAGGTACCCTTCCCTACTCTTAACATTTGCTCATTCCATAAAATGGGGAATAAAAACCCTCTCATGGAGTCGAATTTTGGCGGTCTTTCGCTTAAATAGAAAAAAAAAATGTATCTAGACTACAATATTAACATGGCATTTAGAAAAATCTATATTTTGTAAACAACATTTATGCTTTTCTTTTCTTGTTAAATTTTCTCATAAAAAAAGAGAAAAATAAAATCGAAGACTGAAACAAAAAAATTTACAACTAATGTTGGTTATGCAAAATCAACAGATCTTGCTATCAAATTTTTTTATAATGTGGAAGAATGATATGTTGAATGCTAAGTCAATATAAAATCCAAAGTGATTATAAACTCCTTGCACAAATTTCTCAAGAAACGTTGATATAGAGATGCGCACAAATTTCGTAATGTCAAGGAATATAATTTGCGACAATGTAATGATCACCACAAAAATGGACCATTATTACTAGAATAATTCAATTTAGCACAAGCCTAGGTGTTATTGGGATCCATCTCTAATTGTCTAACTATTCAAATTTATATCGGCTTTATTGGACAATTATTAGTGGGTCCTACTGCCAGCTAGACATGTTATAATCACAACTGGTATTGCTAGATAGCATTACTTTTATTCCCTTTCAACCACTTAATATAGTCCATGGACTCGGTGTAGTGTTGGTAAACTTGACAAGGACCCACAACACAGAGATGCAAAAGCTAAATTTTAAATGTACATTCTCCAAAAAGAGAGTAACATTTAAAAAGTTTAAGAACACTTGTGAAGTCATAAAACCTTTCATTATGAGGTATTATATTTAGTAGAAGTCAACATCGCACACTCCACGAAACAACTGTATATCTGAAAGTGCCTCGGGTGTGTTTAAGATGTATATTCATATCAAACAAATCTTTATGAGGTACTATTAATACTAGAAGTCAACATCATACGCTCCATGAAACATCTCTATAAATACAAGTGTCTCAGGTGGGTTTTAGATGTGTATGCATACAACATTTCCTTTGAACGTCGAATTCTTCAAGAGATTTTCAATGCTCTCTCATATTTGTTTCAGCTAATCACTCTCAAGGTGGTCTGTTTTTATTTTGAGTTTGGAAGTTTTATTGAGGCACTTCAATGGCTTCATATTTAAGCAGGACACAAGAAGTCCATGTTTTGCTAGTTGAAAATAACTTTAATCATCTTATTTCAACAAAGAAAATCTTGGAATTCTGTTCATATAAAGGTAAAGAAATTCATAGTATTAGAATTTCAATTTTCGTTTATTCTAAGTTGAAATCAGTACAAGTGTAGGTATGGTAAATGAACATTCATGATTTATTTATTATTTCAACTGACATAAACTATTCATTCATGAATTATCTTTTGGTCCTAAATTGAGGTTTTGTTTTCTTCAATTAATTTACCGAATTATTTTTATTTTTCCATCTCCTTTAATGGTTTGTTTTGTAGCGAAATGCGTTGAGCATGCCTCTACTGCTTTATCAATGTTATCAAATGGGAAGGATCAATTTGACATTGTTATGGCAAATATCTTCTCTCCTGACAGAAGCACCTTCAAGCTTCTCCGAGCAGCTGTTAAAATGGATTTGCTAGTGATTTGTGAGTGTTAATTAGTTAATATTTGTCCTTCTAAAATTTTGAATCCTTATACAAGTCGTTTTGATATTCCTCAAAGCTGCAGGAATTTTTAAATTCTAAGCAGTGTAGTACAATCCAATGCTGCGTTTCTCTGATTCTATTTTTCATTTTTTATTCAAGTGATGTGCGATTATGACGATGATATGATGGCAAGAAATGCATTGGAACAAGGGGCCTCTCTTTTTCTCCAAAAACCTGTTAAAATGGAGGATGTAAAGTACCTGTGGCAGCATGTGTGGAGGAAGAAGACCTGGAAAGTTAAAGAAAAAGAACAACTTAGAGAGGTGATAGCATTCAACAGAATGAGTAGAGGATTTAAGGCTGAAGAAGAAATTTCATCGGAAAATGTTATGAGTGATGACAACGATATTGTTGAAAATGGATGGAAATCAAAAAAGAAAGTCAGAAAGGTTTGGACACAATGGACTCCGGAACTCCATGACAAATTTGTCGATGCTATCGTTGAACTTGGTGAAGGAAGTAAGCTTTTTCTCATTATATTTTTAAGATTTTACTTATTATCATCTTACCATTGTGTATATATGTGCGTCAACCGGTCGAGCCTTAGCCCAAATCTGATAATAGAGGAATGTTTTTGTGTTTATATATGGCAGGGGTCTAAAACTAATGCAGACCAGAAGTAAAATTTGAAAATAGCACAAGCCTCAAATTCAAATTGACTAAACTAAGGAAATGTTTTTTTTTTTTTTAATACTTAGACGTGGTTTAAAACTAATACATCCCACAAGTACCAATCCAGTTAGAAAATAGTATAGAAAGAAGTAACTTTTAAGCTGGGCCAAACATTTAGTGGGTGTTTTTACTTCTGCTGGAAAGGAGTTACTCTTTGGAAGTTTGTTTATTATTTTTTCTTAATGGGAAATTTTGGGCATGAATCTTAAGTAGTAAATTTTTCTTATTTTCTTCAAATATATAAAGATTTCAGTTAAATCAGCTAAACGTGTAGAAATTCTAGATTTTGTGCACGACTGTATTTTGTAATCTAGTTTCTGTGTCATTAATTTCATAAGCCTTTCTTTACCTTCTTCTCTTTTATTTGCTAAATATATTGATAATAATTTATATACAAATCAAAAAATTGAAATATTTTCGCCTTGTTAGCTTATTACTGTTAACTTAGATATTGGTCACTCATCATCTTTTGAGTTTATTATTAGATTGTTGTTGCCTTGTCGACTTAGTGTTAAATTGATATTGCCTTTATGACTTAATTCTACCCCCACCAACATAAATTTGTGGATCTGCCCTCGTGGGAGTGTGTGCGTATACTATACACCTTTGTGCTTACATGAGTTCACTTTCATCTTGTGCAGGATGTTACCCAAAGGAGATACTAGAGCACATGAATGTACCTGGTCTTACAAGAATGCAGGTGGCCAGCCATCTCCAGGTTGGTTAATATTGCAGTCAACATGATAATCTTTTCATTAGAGTCTAGACATTTAAACTTCGAAGTCTTATTTTCGACTGCTAACCCAAATAGAGTCTTTTGAGACTTTCCTGAGATGTGCAATTTAGTGTAGTCATCTCCAAACATAAGTCACTCATAAACAAAGTTTTTTTCACTTATTCAGTTTTTTCAGTCTATCGCATTAAATAATTCATGTACTCCATGCATGATATTGAAACACTTCTTTCTCGACTTCTCTTTCTAAAATTTTATGATTTTATAATTTAGCAAACCCTAGTGACCGTCCCCATGGGGCCATTGGGATAAAATCCACCAACTCCTTGTTATACACCCCCCAGTCAGAAAGGAATAAGTTAAATATATTGATAATTTAGTTCTTAAGTCTATATAGATTCTTTACAATAGATCTCGACATTCCTAGTATTAATATTTTATTTTTCTTTTCTTAGAAATGTCGTAATGGGAGTTGGCGACCATACGAAGAGAGACAACGTCACTATAGTAATGTTGAGTCATTGCCGTTGACTGAGTCTACCAAGCCGAAACAAAAGAGATTTGGTTCCATGCCTGTTTTAACCGAACATTTTGAGAAGCAGAATCTCCAAAGCGAGGAAAACACTGAAAAAACTCATCCACAAATCTATGATAAAAAAGATGATGATCACGTCTTTGAATATCATCCTCAACTTTCTCAGGTTAAATCCAAGCAAGATTTAAGTGGATACACATTTGCTCAAGACAATGTTGCAGGACCCTACACAGAACAGGTTGGCAATAATTTACAAACTGTTCCTGGTGCTTTCATGCCTAATGAGAAATTTCTGTTTAGTTTCAATAGTGTCACCAGTGGAAACCTGCAAGCATATGACACTGATCAACCTAATGAGCCAGGTTAGTCCTAATTTCCATCTATATCTCCTTTGATATATTTGATATATATGCTTGAATATATATTACAAAAAATATCTATTTATGTTTTGCATAAGTCTAGCTTTAAAAATAGAAGGAATTTGTTTAGAAAGATTGAAACCAGGTTGTGAAGGACTTGGACTACTTTTTTTGGTAGCATTTAGCATCATGAATAAATAATCTATTTGAATTTTCAATAAAGTAAGGGTGAATTTATATCATGTATTGCATTTTTTTTACTGGTGTATATTCATTTGTTGGAATATATACGAAGGAGGTCTTAAAACATGAAGATGTGCAATGCAAAGCACTATGATCAACCTATTGATGGGAAATATTTAGATTAACCAAAGTCTAACAAGATGAGTATTGTGCACTCAAGTGCAAACAACATGAGAACAATACTAGATAAACAACAGAAAAAATATAGCATTAAATTACAGCAATAAAAAAATGACACAATTCTACTTCTACTAAACTAGAGTGGCCACTCCTCAGGATTAATCGAGCAAAACTTGGATACTCAACTCATCCAAAAAATAAAATAAAAATGACACACTTACTGTCGAACAATAAATGCAGCAAGAAAAAGGCTAATTCTCTGATGATCTCTCACTTGCTGATGCTCCACTGGATGAAACATTACTTCTTATTCATATTCTTCATGGAGTCAGATACAAATTTAAGGATATTGCTACAGCCATCCACTCCCGTGAAACACCAATTACCTCCGAGGAACTTCATGACAAATTTAGTTGTTTATGAACATCATTTCAAATGTGAATCTCATAAACAAGCCATCAGTAACGTAACAGTTAATGTGGCCACCAAAACAAAGTTTTAAAAAATCAGAACAGTACCAAAAGCAGTTCTGAAAAGCCTTAAGACACTGGTGGCACCACTAATTTTCAATCCGATTGGAGTCAAAATAATTAAGGCAAAATAATAATTCCATTTAATTTCGGGTTTGTCAGTTTTTGGTGAATTGCTAGTCTAATTAGATTGAAAATGGGCCAATGATTACAACTCGGCTCCTTTGGCCTTGAACCATGTCAGATTTTGGGCAGATTCCGTCATTTAGGCCTTCAATTAAGCGTATTTGCAGTGTATGGTAATTTTTGTTTCGGCAATATCTTAAGCAAATAAACTCGAATTTGATTTTCGTTTGTTGGGGAATGATCCTCGTGATTAGGAGAATCAAGATCCGTCATTATCTCAATTTTTTCAATTTTTGAAAAAAATAATATTTTCTCATTATTATGTAATTTTTCCTAATTTTCTTAAGTTTTTCGATATTTAAACGTTGTAAACCCTTTGAGGCAACTCAGTTTTGAATGAAATAAAGTTTTCTTGAATCTCTCTTCGTTGAAATTCTTTTTGTGTGGATTTTTGTCTTTCCTATAATCTTCGCCTGTATCACAAAATCAGCGGCATTCAGCTCCGAAACCTTATGAAGGTTTCTGTCAAATACTGCATATTTAGCCACAGTTGTAATTACCCTTCAACTTATCCTCTTGACCTTTCTTCAACCATCAGCCATCTCATTTTAGTTCTAATCGTAAACTCACCTCTGCATTCCAATCAAGTGTTTCTAATGCTGATTGGTTGATGGATTCTGGACCATCTCAGCACATCACATCTGACTTGCAAAATCTATCTCGTCACTCAGAATATAAAAGTTGTGATAACATAAATGTTATATGTGTCCCTTTGATGAAAAAGAATATATTTCTAGACTTTATCAATACAATCATGTCTTTATTGAATTCTTATCCTTTTCATTTGTGGTGAAGGATCTTCAAACAAGGGGACCAGTAATGAAAGGGCATAATCAAGATGGATTTTGTAAGTGCAATTATCGCACATGGCTTCTCCTAGACCGATCCTGAAAACTTGTATCCTATAATGGAACAACAGTCATGGTCATCCTTCTATGAGAACTCTTCAATAAATTACCTGGCTTCGTCTTTTTGTGACTAAGTTTTATGTAATGCTTGCAAGTGCATTTAAATGCACAAACTTCTGTATTTTTTTCTACTTTAACAAGTAGTATTGCTCTGCTTGAATTAGTATATTCAGATATTTGGTGTACATCTTCTGCGCTATCATTTGATATTTTTGATATTAATGTTACATTTATCGAAAAATTCACAAAGAACTAAGGCTATTTACAATTAAATTTTAATTTAAAGGTAAATTATGTTCACAAAATTCAAATTAGTAGTTGAAAAATTATTGTAAAGACCAATTATGTCCATTTATTTGGGTGGTGAAAGAAGAGTTTGCCTTATAATATTTCTTGAATCTCATGGTTTAAGCTAGGGTCCATTTGGAACCAGATCAAATCTTTTTTTTTTTTTGGATTTGGCTCAATTTAAAATCAAGATTTAGCAAAGGAAAAAGAACATGTATCGAACAGGATAAATCATTAATATTAGTCTAAAATATTACGTTATATCATAAATATTATTATCATTGCAAATATTAGGAACGAAAGTTCTACACTTTTAATAATTATAATGCAATAAAATGATCAAAAAATTTAGTGTTAACCTTTTAGTCGTTACTAATTGATGAACACCTCCAATTATAACACATAACTCATTTTCGACAATCAATGACTCTTCATCCTTTGGTGGCAACAAAACAGCTCTATTGGTCCAAACTAATAAAAGAAAGTGAATAGAAATATCAAATATGGTAATATCTTGTACAACTTTCTCTAAATAATATAATGCTTCTACCTCATAAAAATATTGCCGAATCAATGTAGGATTTCTTTTCCTATGCTACCAATTCTAAGTGCAAATCACTCCTTAACCATCTTTGCACTAAATGAACTCATAAAAGAATCAAAAATCTAGTAGCGAACGCTGACTTAGAAGCAACCATGGATATTTGAATGGTTAATACAGTTGGGAGATAATCTTGTACTTATTTGCACTCAATTTTCACAAAAATAATATGTCGAAAGACTCATTCATCAAATTTTCACAACAACTATTTAAGTAATCCATCAAATTATTTTGATTGGGATGTGTTTATTTTTAATTGGGTTGGACAAAATTTAAATTATTTTATTTCGTATGTATTTTTGTAAGTGGCTTAGCGATTTGAAATGATTTGTGAAAATTAAAGCCCATGGAAGGATCTACACGTATCCAAATTAACGAGTTCAAGAAAGAGACTAGGCTTGATTTTGTGGTTCGACAATTTTGTTGTTCAGTCCAGTTTGAGCCAATTTTTTACCCTCACCCCATGAATATAACAAGTGTTGGGAATTAACTATACGTGCACTTCAATCTTAATTTCCATTGAACTTACTTTGATTTTTGACGTGATTTGGGTTGAGAACAGATAACTACTTGACGAAACAATTATCTAAAAACTTGAATTTATGCACGTAGTAATTCAAACAATGATCAACTACACATGTCCAGCCTCCAACAATGATCCACACATATGATGTTGAAAATTGAAACTTGGTACTCACAGTATAGAAAGAGTAGAGCGGTCACTATTGGGTGCTAAGGTTAATCAATTATGCTATTTGTACATTATTTATATACAACTTGGATGATATTTGAATATGTGGCAAAATCAATATCATTGATTAATTTAAGTGTTAAAAAAATCAATGGTAAAATTGTGTGCCATATAGTACAATGTAAAACAGAATGTGAACTAGAATGCGATTTTAAGGTTAATAGTTCTATTTTCTTGTTCTATCAATAAAATTTTGACTCGTTAACCTTAGTACATGTATATATAGACTCTTAGTTGGATCCAGCCCATTAATCTAAACTTAAACCCTAAGTTAAATTATGTGGGAATTACGTAAACCCAGTGTTTTCAAGATCTCAATTTGCAAGTCATAGATTAGGTTTATTAATTAAAAAATAATATTTTTTAATTAATTAACATATATATAAAATAAATATTTTTACTAAATATAATGATTCAAAAATTAATTAATCTACCCACACAATTTCAATCCCAAACCATAATATCTCTGTCCCTTCTTTCTATTTCTAAACCTTTTACATCTCTATTCTCTCACCCTCTCTCTATCCTCTTGTCGACGCAGCGATTGTAAGCGCGGCAACTAGGTGCTTCGCCAAGGGGCCCCATTGCTGTGAACTCGCAATGAGAGGCAATTTTGTTCCTGATCTGAGAGCGGTGTCAAATGGGATTTCTGTGGTTTCCGGAGATGAACGGAGCTGCAATGACATTCTGGTTCCTGATCTGAATGGCTGGCTCCTATCCCCAATGAAGCTTCTGGATCTACGACGGCATTCTGGTTCTGGATCTGATTTGAGCATGACCATACACAACTAGAGATGTTCTGGTTGTGGTGACGGCGTTTGTGGATTTGATTTGTTTGCCTTTTTTGGGCGGCGGTGGTGGCAGTTTTGTTGGATCTTCTTGGTGGTAGTGGGTTTGTTGGTGCCATGGTGGATTAGGGTTGGGCGGGGTAGGTAGCGGGATTAAGAGTGTTTGTGACCAATAAATTGGGTAATTTGTGATTAAAAAAAAAAACCGTCTGACCGATAAATTTTAATCAATAAATAATTTGTGATTAAAAAAAAAAAAACCGTCTGATCGATAAATTTTAATCAATAAATAATATGTGACCTAAAAATTTGAAAAGTGACTTATAAAATTTGTAATTTTTTATCGATAAATAAATTGTGACCTATAAAATTTTTAATTTATGACTTATAATTTTTTTTATTTGTGACTGCGAAATAATTTATGACCTATTAAATTTTTTATTTTTGATCGAGAAATAGTTTGTGACCAATTAGTTCGATAATTGGTATTGAAATTGTATAGAATTGTGAAATTATTATATTTAAACCTTGTTTCTCAGTTTTGATATGGATCATAGTTAATCTCTTAGATATGAAATTTTCCCTTAAATTAAATTACTAGACCCACAATACTTTTTCTCATTAATCTATGGGACCTATTATTCAGTTAGTCATTTGCCCCACATAGACTATTAATAAATACATAATTGGCTTACACGTGTCATTTGATAAATTTCCATTTCAGAAAACAACACTCGATGGTGGAAAAGAGTTACCAGGACCCAGATGCCCAATCTAGAAGTCCCTTCTCTACCAGCAAATCTGAAGAGGTCTCTTGATAACCCTGCAATTGATGAAGGTACTCAGAGCTCTAAACGACTGAAGGGTAAGAGCAAATCCCAAGTGAGAATTTATGATTCCAATTCTCAGATTTATGTTTTGTTCTTGCAAGAAACAAAACTAAATGCTACGAATATGGAACTTTGTGGAGTTAAATTGAAATTTCACGGTTGTTTTTGTGTTGAGACAGTGGGCCGTAGTAGTGGAATCGCCCTCCTTTGGAAATCTGATGATCAATTATCAGTTCTCAGCTTTTCTAAAAATCTCATTGATGCTAAAATAGGCTCGCCCCTTGGTAGCTGGAACCTTACGAGTAGCTATGGACACCCGAGACTAGTAAACGTATGGAAACCTGGAATTTATTGAGGAGACTGAAAATGGACTCTACAGAAGCATGGTCTTTGGTAATTTTTATGAAGTCTTCTCTTACAATAAAAGATGGCGAGGTCGAGATAGACCTATACAACAAATGGAAAATTTTCAATAGATGTTCCTTGACTGTGAGCTACGAGACCTCGGTTTTAAAGGACCCCGATGCACACAGCACGATGGAAGACTTGATTCTGCTAAAATCTTTGAAAGACTAGATGGATTTATGGCAAATGAAGCTTGGTGTTGAATTTTTGCACAAGCTTCAGTTACTCACGGATCAACTACAACACCTTCCTCTATGGATTTGGATGGTGCTATTCAAGCACCTAGAAGACCCAGGCCATTCAGATTTGAATTAATGTGGCTGGGTGAAAAAGCATGATCTGATATTGTGTTGGAACAATGGCCAGAAACCAGCTCTCAGAATCTGGACAGCATTATGAGGAATATTACCTGGTGCAATACGCAGCTTCAGGTCTGGAATCGAACAAAATTCGGCAAGGTTCAAGTGCAGCTTAAAAAGGCTAGATCAAAGCTCGTCCAACTCCAGGAAAATGACCCTGCTGCCATTAATCCTAATGCCCTTCGACAATCTACTTAAGAGGTACAAACCTAGATGAATAGGGAAGAAATTATGTAGAAACAAAGGTCCAGAGCTGCTTGGCTTGAGGAAGGAGACCAGAATACACGTTATTTCCATGCCAAAGCTTCCCAACGATATAAACAGAATCAGATCACTAAACTCCTAGATGATCAAGAATGCGGGTAGGAAGGAGATGATTGCAACAGCCTCATCCTCACCCACTTTTTCGATCTGTTCTCCTCTGCAGGCACCAAAAATCAAGCTGCTATTGTGGAAAAAATGGAAATTAAATTACCTCCAAATATGAACAATGACCTGATAAAGCCTTTTACAGCTTCTGAAGTCTCCCGGGCCCTAAAAGAGATGCAACCAACAAAAGCTCCTCGCCCAGATGGTATGCCCCCTATATTCTTTCAAAAATTTTGGCCTCACATTGGTTCTTCTATCACTAATGCTGTTTTACATGCTTTAAATACTTGCCAATTTTCCCATGATGTCAATCACACTTTTCTTACGCTTGTTCCAAAGACTAAGCATCCATAGAGGGTGAAGGATCTCAGGCCTATAAGCCTTTGTAATGTGCTCTATAAATTGATTTCAAAAGTGGTGGTTAATCGAATTAAATCCATGCTTCCTGTAGTTTCAGAAACACAGTTAGCATTTGTTCAGGGAAGACTCGTCACTGATAATACGCTTGTGGTCTACAAAGTGCTCCATTTCTTG